CATATGCTACAACTGAGGAACAACTATCCTGGCACCGGGAAGCAGGAGGCAGTGACAGGCAGAAGCAAGAGCAGCAACCCCCAGGAGAAGACTCTTCTCCACTGGTTTCTGAGCTCCAGGGGAGGAGGCTGCAGGCAGCAGTATAGGGCTGTTCCTTGCACAACTCCAAATGTGAACAGAGCCCTTGAACTCGTGTAGTTTATCAGTCCTGGCGAGCAGCTGGCCATAGGCTACCAGCTGAACTTGGCCAGCTCAAGTTCCATAAAGCCAGGCTGCAAGGCAGAGAACACCAGGCCTGGAGGACAGGCTAATCCTGAATTCCCACCTCTAGGGCAGAGGAAACTGACCTTGAAATCAGACATGTACGGGACCAAGAAGAAAGGATCCCCAGTGCTCTGTCCTTCAGGGGTGCACAAGGGGCCATTACCTGACCCAAGGGGACTCTCAGAATACTGTCAGCTCCCCGACCTTCGAGCCCAGATTCTCCCAGCTTAACAGGCACGGCGGAGCCTCGCTGAGTCTCTGCTTCCCTCCTCCAAATATTGCTTTGAAATGCATAAAATAAAATATGTAAATTAAAAGGGACCCTATTATTTTGAAATATGGTTATCAAATCATGGAAACAGACATCGCAATTCAGAGGTATATGTGCTTCCTTATCAGTGCATTAGAAAGATCTAGCATTGGTATAATAACTACCATCATGTCAGATAGCAATCTGTATAAACAATGTATGGAGATATATTCTGAGATAACTACAACAACTGATCTGGGCAAGTATTCAATATCCGACAGCCACAATAAAATATTAGTAAGAGCTGGGCACACCTATAGTCCCAGCTATATGGGAGGCTGAGGCAGGAGGATTGCTTGAGTACAGGAATTACAGGCCAGTCTGGGGAACATGGCAAATCTCTGTCTCAAAAAAAAGCAAGAAAGAAATGAAAAAAGAAAAAAAAAGCCTGTAATAAAGTCACCAATAATACTATAAACAGTGCTTGTAATCCCAGCTTCTCAGGAGGCTGGAGGGTCACAAATTTGAGGCCAGCCTGGGCAATTTAGCAAAATCCCATCTCAAAATTTAAAAAAAAAGGGGGGGGGCTGGGGAAGTAGCTCAGTGCTTGCCCAGCATGTGTAAAACCCTGAGTTSGATCCCCTGTACTGCAAAAAGAAAAGAAAAAGTTAACAGCATGGGCTGGGCACAGTGGAGCATGCCTGTAATCCCAGCAGCTCAGGAGGTGGAGGTAGGAGGATCACAAGTTCAAAGCCAGCCTCAGCAACAGCGAGGCACTAAGCAACTCAGTGAGACCCTGTCTCTAAAGAAAATACAAAATAGGGCTGGGGTGTGGCTCAGTTGTTAAGCGCCCCTGGAATCAATCCCCAGTACCAAAAAAAAAAAAAGAAAAGAAATAAAATAAATAGCATCGCTGTGCCTTGATTTATGATGGGATTATGTTCCAATAAACCTGACATAAATTGAAAGCATCTCAAGTTGAAAAAGCATTTAATACATCTAACTTATAAAACGTCGGAACTTAGCCTCACCTGCCTTGAATGTGCTCAGAACACTTCCATTAGACTACAGCTGAGCAAAATTGTCTAACACGAAACCTATTTTGTATTAAGAGTGTTGAATTGTTCATGTAATTATTAAATACTGCACTGAGAGTGAGATGCAGGACCGTAGTGTGGGCACTCACCACTGATGAATGGTTAATAGTTGATGTACAGGAAAGCAGAGCTTCTGCTGAATGCTTATCCCCCACCCCCGCCCCTTTTCTTTTTCCTATACTAGGAATTGAACCCAAGGCCTCTTGCATGCTAAGCAAGGGCTCTGCTCCTGAGCTCCATCCCCAGCCCTTTTGTTGTTAATTAGTTTTGGAGGATTTGGTTGATTTGTTGATTGAGACAGGGTTTCCCTAAATTGCCCAGGCTGGCCTCGAACTTGGTGATTTTTCCTTCCTCAGCCTCCCAAAGGGCTGAGATGACAGGCATGCACCACCACTCCCAGCTGCTTATCACTTTTACAGCATTATAAAGTTGAAAAATTATAAACCAAACCATTTGTAAACCAAGGACAGTCTGTACTGGGACTTTGTGACCTATGTTCATAGCCTGGTTGGATACTAATGAATAGATGGATTAGTTTCTCGCATCTAATTTCATAGATCCTCAGAATTCCATGCCCCATGATCCAAGAAGAACAAGTCAGCAAATAATGCTATGGCTTGACAGACTGCCCTGGAGGCCGGGTGGGGACACAGGGCCAAAGCCACCAGGGTCAGGGAAGGCTTCAGGATAGAATATGAGACAGGTTTTAGAGAGGTACCGGCACAGTTGTAAAAAGAGAGGGAGTGGGGATGTGTGCCTCAGTGGTAGAGCACGTGTCTGGCATGCATGAGGCCCTGGGTTCAATCCCCAGTACTGCAAAAAAAAAAAGGTGGGGGTGGGGGGAGTGGCAGAAAGGAACCACATGTTAAACATGCTGGAGGGTTGGGGATGTGGCTCAAGTGGTAGTGCGCTCTACCAGTGTGTGGGAGGCACTGGGTTCAATCCTTGGCACCACATAAAAATAAAATAAAGACTTTAAACCTGCTGGAGTCACAGGGGCAAATTTGACTATTAACAAATGGGGTCTCAAAAATGAAGCACCTTAGCCAGGCATGGTGGCAAGTACATGTAGTCCCAGCTACTCAGGAGGCTGAGGCAAGAGGATCACTGGAGTCCAGGAGTTTGAGGCCAATCTGGGCAATATAGTGAGACACACACCCCCAACTCAAAAAATAAATAAATAAATAAATAAAGTGACATGCCTTGACAGAGACAGGCAACAGAAGTGGCAGGTCCTGGAAAGATAGTTCTGTTTAGATACAGAGCCTCAGCTTATCCCCTCTACACCCCACCCGTCACAGGGAGGCTGAGGCTGAGGACACCTTCAAATGGGAGGCATTGAGTAGAAACTGGGCCCTAAGAACAAGATGGCCCAGTCTATTTGCTTTATATTTGTGCAATTTTTTTTTTTTTTTAGTTCTGTGGATGGAACCCAGGTGCATGCTGGGCAAGCACTCTAYCACTGCGCTACATCCCCAGCCTTTTAATTTTTTGAAAATTTTGGTACAAGGTCTCACTGAGTCGTCCAGACTTACTCAGTCTCCCAGATAGCTGGTTGCGCCACCACGGTGGTGGCTTTGAGATATCTGCCTGATTTATTTTCACCTGTCTCTTATCAAATGGGGACAATAGCCAGCACCTCACAGAGCATCTAAAGTGTGAGTTTTAAAAGCCTTTGAAGCACATACATCACTATGCCTGGCAGAGTGGTCTCACGGTTCCTCTGCAGAGCTTTTTCCTGGGATCAATGCAGTGGCAATTTGCCCCAGCTCTCCTCCTGCCTGTGGCCAGATAGTTCTAGCTGGGTGGGGGGAACACTAGGGTCCAGAGGGGTTGGTCTGCCCTTAGCCCAAGGGGAGGGTAAGTAACTGGCCAGCCAGTTACTGCAGGTAAGGAATCGGTTGGAGAAATACTTGCATCAGCAGAATCCCGCTGGGGGAGGTGAGGGGTGGATCTCTGGTCGAGGGTCAAGGGGCCCCACCCCTGAAGCTGATGGGTTGTGTCCAGACTGAGATGCGTGGAGGTTTAGTGCAAAGAGAGCCTGCTCGGCTCCACAGTGGGGCTGTGAGCAACTGTGCGGGCTGCATGCTATGGGACTCCAGGGAATCTTTACATGACTGCAAGCAAAGTGCTCTTGGGAAGCCCTGGGACTTAGGCAATCCAGATGCCCTATCCCATCCTGGCTCTGCCACTCCTTAGCTCTGGGACCTTGAGCAAGCCACTTCACTCTCGGAGCTCATCCATAAAGTGGGACTACCACACCCTCCTTAATGACTCTTGTTTGACACCCAGTTCTTGAGAGTTGTTCAATAAACAGCATCTTCCTTTTCCCCCAGGGAATCCCCTACCCCTACCCTAAGGGACCTTTGCCAAGCTTCAGGGTACTAAGGAGATAAGATGCCAAGGGGTGAGCCTAGGAGGGGAGAAGGAGAAGGACAGGGCAATTGGAACAGCTAAGAGAGGAGCCCTTCTCCCAGCCTGTGGTCCAACTAATCCCTGCAGGACGCCCCTTTCTTTGGCAAACAGGGCAGGTGCCTCCTTCCCTGGAGGCCTCCTCTGGCTAATGATTCCCCAGCCCTGGAAGAGGCTCTGTCAAGTAGGCTGGACCCTTGACTTCTGGGGCCAACTGTCTGGCCCTCATTCTGCTCCAGCTTAAGCTTGCTCCAGCTCAAACTTCTCTTGACTTGGAGGCCTTGGTGAGGGAAGAGAGGCTTCTGGTACCCAAAGACTATGCTTCAGGGTCTCCCCATAATTCCCTGAGCAACCTAGGGATGGGGAAAACTTTCAGGGGGTCTATAAATGTGAACATGCCTCTGGAGTTGTGGGATGCAGCCGCCAGATCAGGGTTGCTGCAAAGAAGACCACCCACCCGCCCAGAACAAGATTCGCTCCAAAGCCTGCTGGGTCCTRGGCTCTAAGGATTCAGATGCCACAAAACTGACTCTGTCCTCCTGGGGCTTGCCTCCTAGCAGAGGAGACACGAATCATACAAATAAAAACATTCTCACAGGTTGTGATAAGAGATAGGGAAGGGACCTGGCAGGGGCCCACATCACCCAGGTCCCACTTCTTCCTCTGTCAGCCCCCGTTTCATCTCAGGACCTTAACCTGGGGTCCTCTGTGGCTGGATGGGGCCTGACAGCCAACTCCAGTCTCTTCAGTATGACTGGGTGATAATGTCTGGGCCGCCAAGGTCAAAGACAAGGTGGTGAGTGCCTTGTTTTATTTTCTCATTTCTATCTGAAACTGAGACCTTGGGTTTGGGACTCATGGGTTTTGCAGGCTCCCCACCCGCCATGATGTTATGGATTACTTGGTTTCTCTTGGGGACAGAAGGGGACGCACCCCTGCCCCCTCCATCAGCTCTGCTGCTCCCCTCCCGCCCACAGGAAGCCTACTGCGCCTACACCATCATCCTCATGGCGCTCTTCTGGTGCACCGAGGCTCTGCCCCTGGCCGTCACTGCCTTCTTCCCCATCATCCTGTTCCCCATGATGGGTATCCTGGATGCCTCTGAGGTGAGCCCCACCCATCCATCCATAGGAGGAAGGGATCCCAGGGAGAGGACAAGGGTTTGTCAAGAGCCCTGGTAACCAAGGGAGCCTCACGGCAGGCGGTGTGCTGCTTGACAGGCCAGAGAAGAGTGAGAGAGGAACTAGGGAGAGGCCAAGGAGGGCATTCTAGAAATGTGTGTGGCTGATGTGGAAAGATCATTAAAAGTGAGAGTGACGAGATCTGCCAAGGAGGTTGAAGGCCTGGTGCAGGAAAAGGGCCCTGAGAATCCGTAAATCCTCATTATCCACAAGGGCTCCAGGACCTCATGATACCCAAGTCCCAGGATGCTCCAGTCCCTTATACAAAATGGCATAGTGTTTGCATATAACATATGCACATCCTCCTTATATTTTCAGTTTGTCTCTAGATTACTTATAATACCTAACTCAATGTCAATAGTTGTTCTGCTCTATTGTTTAGAGAATAATGATGGGGTGGGGTATAGATGAGCTTTTTTTTTTAAAAAAAAAATGTTTTCCATTCAAGGTTGGTGCAGAACCCACAGATAGAGAGGGCGGGCTTTATACTCCTGGTTCAGAGGTTCTTGAACATGAAAGAGCACCAGAAACCCCTGGAGGGCTGGGTCCGCCCCTGAGTTTCTGATTTAGTAGGTGAGAGTGGTTTCATTTCTAGCAAGTTGCATTTGATGGTGAGGATGGTGAGTTCATCTGATGGCCACTTGTAGAAAACCACTGCTCTGCTTTCTAGAAAGAGCATAAAATTATTTTTATTTCCCAATCCATGGCTTGAACGATGAACAGGATCAGGCTAGATTGTCGCCCAGTCATCCTGAGGGGACAAAGAGTGAGTTTGGCAAGAACTGGGGAACCTGGTTAATATCAAATGGCAGATAATCCAAAGGCCGTTTCCATTTAGTCCCGAAAGCTCAGGGGAGAGCCAGTCTGCAGGGACGTTAGTGACCTGCACCCTAAAAGCACAGGAGCATCGTGGGAGACCCCAGGTCTAGCTGTGGTTTCAGTCCCATCCCTGCCCACCAGGTCTGCATCGAGTACCTCAATGACACTAACGTCCTGTTCATCGGGGGGCTGTTCGTGGCCATCGCTGTGGAGCACTGGAACCTGCACAAACGCATTGCCCTCCGTGTGCTCCTCCTCATGGGGGTGCGGCCGGCCCTGTGAGTTCCCACAAACCAGGACAGGAGAACAGGGGTCGGGCGGCGCTCAGGGCTCCCAGTCCCTGAAGGGGAGCTGGAATGACAATGTGTCCACCTGCTTGTCCTTAGGCTACTCCTGGGCTTCATGCTGGTCACTGCCTTCCTGTCCATGTGGATCAGCAACACAGCCACCACGGCCATGATGGTGCCCATTGCGCATGCGGTCCTGGAGCAGCTGCATGGCACACCCAAGGACATCGAGGAGGGGAGTGACAACCCTACCTTCGAGCTCCAGGAACCAAATTCCAAGAAGGAGGTGACCAAGCTTGGTGAGAGAGAAGAGGCAGGCCCTACCCCAACCACTCAGTTCTTGGGGRAAGATCTGAGAGGCCGTCCTTCCCCAAGGGTGGTCATCTTGGAGCCTTTGTGGAGAGAAGAGGGAAGTGAGAGGCACAGTGACCAGCTTGATCGGGATTACCTGGAACTTTCCTGGTTTTACAATCCCAAGACCCATGGGCTAGGGGTGGAGATCAGTGGTAGAGCCGCTCAAGCCCTGGTTTGATCCCTAGTACTGCAATGAAGTTTTCAAAATAAAATAAAATAGGAATACCCTCAGCCAGTCCTGGGCAATCCAAGAGGCATGGTCACCCTAGGAGAAGAGAGCTGGAGCCTGGGTGGGCAGGCAGTGCCCTAGGCGCCATCCCTGCCTTGTTTGGATAATCCTCTTCTCTTCTCTGTGCCTCAGTTCCCTCTCTCAAGAGAGGATGGACCAGATGGTGTCTAAAGGTACTCTCAGCCTGAGGCTCCAGGGAATTCTGGGCCCACTCAGACCTAGGAACAGCTTCTGTCCTCCTCCCAGCCCAGGTCTAGGCTGTCCACTGACAAGGTACCCTGGGGGCCATGGAGCCTCAACCATGTTCCCCGAAGCTGTCCCTATGCCTGCCCCAACCTGAACTTTCCCTTATTCCTCAGATAATGGGCAAGCCACCCCTGTCACCGCTGCTCCTTCAAAGCCGAAAATACAGAAAACCCAGGAAGAGATCCGCTTCACACAGTGCATGAGCCTGTGCGTCTGCTACTCGGCCAGCATCGGGGGCATCGCCACACTGACTGGCACCACACCCAACCTAGTGCTGCAAGGCCAGGTCTCCTCGTGAGTGACGGAGGGCAGGAGGCATGACAGGGCTGGGGTAGGGGAGGCCTGAGCTCTCCCTGGGAGGCAATTGGGGCTGGGCAGTTGCTATGGCAATGTCACACAGCAGCCTATGTCCCCTTCAGGATCTTCCCCGAAAACCCTAACGTGGTGAACTTTGCCTCCTGGTTCGGCTTTGCCTTCCCCACCATGGTCATCTTGCTGATTCTGTCTTGGCTTTGGCTTCAGATCCTCTTCCTGGGTTTCAAGTAAGTGGCGGAGTGAATAAGAGATGYCCAGGTCTTTGTCTGTACCCCTGGGAGCTTCTGGTGGGGTCCAGATGTGAAAAATGACAGAGCCCTTGATAAGGYTCTTTCTCCCAAGGCCCCTCGGTGCACTTGACCTCCTATTTGAGGGAATTGCTTGGTGGATGATGTTACCTAAGTTGGTAGATGAGCACTGTCTTGAGGGTGGTCGCCACTAGATTTTTCAGTTCTGGGATTGAAAACTAGGTCTCCTGATGCCCAGACCAGGCCCCTTCCCCTAATGCTCCACAGTCCTTGGATAAGTGCTTAAGGAACATGACAATTGTAGAAGCMTGTATTATGTTCCTACCGCATGCTTGGAGCCTGTGCTAAGTGCTGAGAATATTGATGGGCATTTGGCAAATCCTTGATGGATGATGATATGGTGGAGACCATGACAGAGGGTGAAGTGCTTCAGGTAGTGGATATTCTAAGATGCTTCTCAAAGAGACAATGTCTGAGCCCACTCTTGCAGGACTAAAATAAGTCAAGTAGAGAACAGATCAACACATTCCAAAGCATAGAGGCAAGAAAGAGCCTGTGCATTTGGAGGGACTCTGGCTCTGTGGGTCTGAAACACAAAAAAGAAAAGGGGCGGTGGGGGGAGTATCAGGACACAAAACTCAAGAATCGGGCAGGGGAAGATTGCAGAAGATACTGTGAGCCACGTGAAGATTTRAGGACTTGTTCTTGAGGTCAAGAGTAATAAGGTTGCATTCCTATTTGCAACCCTGAGTTACTCCTAGTCACTTTTGGGGTTATATGTTGAAAATCCTTGGAGACCCTGATAAGACTCAGTTGGAATTGAGTCTGGGATTGATTAGTGATGTCTACTGTRCATACAGCACAGGAGTGGTGGTATCAGTGCTACTGTGGTCTGAGTTATTTGCCCTGCCTTCCCAGGCAGAGGGGAGCCATTGCAAGTTTGTAAGCATCATTGCTATACTTTCAGCAAATCACTTGTTCACATTTGAGGAGGTTGGATTAAGGTGGGGGGCTGGTACAAGGCAAGGTGGTAGTTGAAGAGATCAGCACAGTGCCAGGCACCATGGGGAAGTCAAAGATGAGTAAAGCATGCTCTTTGCCCTTGAAGAACTCATAGTCCAGAAGGCAAGTGAGATTTACCCAGTAAAAAGTTAAATGTCAACACAAGTTATATAAGCAGTGCAAGGAAACAGGCCATAGCCTCCTGTGCCACTGAGGACAATTCCAGTGGGGCTCAGGCTGGCAGGGGACACCCAGAGGCCAGCAGGAGAATTTTCTGAGAGGCTTGTGAAGGAGGGGAGCTGTGAGTCAGCACCGGGAGGAGACAGAGGGTCCAAGCCACTAGGTCCTACTAGGCCAGCCAAAGAGATCCCTTGGAGGAAGGAAATCAACAGGGCAGGTGGAGCAGGGACAAGCACAAGTCAACCTGCTCCCCCTGGTAAGCCATGGTCCCCTCTGAGTCTTCTGCTCTTCTCCAGAACCATCAGTAGAGTAAGGGCTAGTGGAGTGACCCCAAAATGACTTCTCTGGGCTTCAGTCTTCACATCATAGATACTCCGAGCCCCTGGCTCCCTGCCTGGTATAGGGCCTCAMGAGCTGTTCCTGCCCTCTGCCTACAGCTTCCGGAAGAATTTTGGCTTTGGAGAACAGGAAAATGAGCGAAAGGACGCAGCCTTCCAAGTCATCCATAGAGAGCACAAGCTGCTGGGCCCCATGAGCTTTGCAGAAAAGGCTGTCACCATCCTCTTTGTGGCCCTGGTGCTGCTGTGGTTCACACGAGAGCCGGGTTTCTTTAAAGGCTGGGGTAACCTAGCTTTTCCTAATGACAAGGGCGAAAGGTGAGAGCTGTTGGGGAGGAGGAGACATATCTGAGGCTTAATGCTGGGAGGTGAGGGAAGGGAGCAGAGTCCCCAGTGCAGAACACAAGGTCACTCTTGGGGTGGGGGGTGGAGGACAGAGGCTTCTCTCTACCACCYCTCCACCCTGTGAATCTGAGCAGTCTTGAGTCACAAAGTCTGTCCTCCTTGCCCCACCCACAGCATGGCCTCCGATGGGACAGTGGCCATCTTCATCAGCATAATTATGTTCATCATGCCCTCCAAGATCCCAGGGCTGACCCAGAACCCAGGTAAGCACCTGGACTGGGCAAGAAAGGGTCTCTGGTCAGCCCCTGCCTGCAGGCATGTAATGCACCTTTGGCAGGAGTCAACAAAACCCAGAGAGGTTGGGGTGACTTGCCAAGGGCACAGGGACTCAGGAAGGAAGTTGGAACATTATAGAACTGAGGGATTCCCTCCTGCATGCACTAAGCTCTGAAGGGACCCACTCAGGAGCCCCCAARTGGAGGCCGGTTGGCTCTGGGTGACCCATCCTTCTCTGCTTGGGGAGTAGAAAAACCAGGGAGGCTGAAGGCCCCTCCCGCCCTCCTCAACTGGAAGACAGTGAGCCAGAAGATGCCCTGGAATATCCTGTTCTTGCTGGGTGGTGGCTTTGCCCTGGCCAAAGGCAGTGAGGTGAGAGACCCGCGAGCCCCCTCCCCAGGCTGTTTGAGGGAAACCCTGTGGGAGGGAGAGAGAGGCCTGCTTGTGCCCTCCAAAAGGCAGACATGATCCCCACTTAGGAGCCCAGCAGTGGGCAGCAAGTTTGCAGAAGCTAGAGGGACATGGGTGGTGGTCCCATCCACGGAAAGAAAGAAGAAACACGAGCCCCAGCGACCTCTCCCCACTGGAATCCTCAGGGAGAGAGACTCTTCACTGGTGGGTGGGGCCTGCTCTGGGCCATGAATTCCACCTCCACCCGCCCCTTATGGTTGGCCAGGCATTGACAGTCTGCCGGTTGCTGCCACCAGGGGGCGCCATGATCACACCAGGCCAGGCGGTGGGGACCAGGGCATCTTTCTCCAGAGCTTCCTTCTAAGAGGGAAATCCCAGAAACTGCACCTGGGCATCTGTTCTCGCTGAGCTCATTCACTGCAGACAGGAGGCAGCTGCCCCAGGTCAGGGATCGGTGCTTGGGGCTCCTGGGTCTGTGGTTAGTTCGTCCATCCACCGTGTCCAGCACTGCGCTTCAGACGGCAGCACGGAATGAGGCAAAGTCCCAGCTCCCTGTGCGCCCCGTGCAGTGCGCTTCCAGGCTGGCATTACGGATGTGGGCGGGACAAGATCTGGGAGCTCTTCTCGCCCTGTGGATTGCCCATCCTTCTGTCCCCCTCTTCCCAGCCCTCCCCCTACTCTCCCTTCGTGTCAGGAGTAAGGTTCCCTCAGCCCCAACCCACCAGGCTGGAGGGGGCAGGGAGAAGGCTGAATTGGCCCAGTGACCCCCTGAGAGGAGTCAGGAAGCAGGGGTAAATGGGGTGAAGGCTTTTCCCCCCGCCAAGTCCCAGATTTTCTGAGGACCCTTCCTCCTAGTTTCTCATCTGGCCCTTCTCCCCTCCCCTCATTGTTCCTCAAGAGCAGCAGAAGGGACCTCTTGATTCTAGGTGGCTCCTGTCTTCCCCTCAGAGTCATTTTTCACTCTGAAGACCTTGGGGATGTGGCAGGAGTAGGATCCTCCCAGAGCCCCCAGCAGAGGGCAGGGGGCACCCCGGGGCAGCCCTGTCTCCTAACGCCACCCTCCTGCCTCCAGAAATCCGGACTGTCTGCGTGGCTGGGAGACAAACTGGCCCCGCTGCAGAGTATACCACCGCCCGCTACCGCCTTCCTCCTGTGTCTCCTGGTTGCCACCTTCACTGAGTGTGCCAGCAACGTGGCCACCACCACACTCTTCCTGCCCATCCTGGCCTCCATGGTGAGCTGGACCCCTCCCCCCAGGCACCCCTCCTGGCTGCCCCACCAGGGCTCTGCCTGCTGGGCACAGTGACCTGCCTTCACGCCTCCTCTTCTTTCCTGCAGAGGACCCCTGAGCTTTCACCCTTCTCCAGGTTCTTGGGCTCTCGGGCCACAAGGCCCTCTGGCCCCTGACTCACCCCCCTCCCTGGTGACATCACCCCTTGAATATCCTGATGGGGCTCAGAGGTGGCCTCGCCCACCTCCCTGCCCCAGCCCCTGTTCTGGTCATTCCAGAGGTGATGGGTAAAATTGCTCCCTGGAGCGTCCCCAGCCCCTTCCTCTCCAGGCGCGTTCCCACAGCCTTTGATGACACCTCCCGAGCCCCTTTGAGATCTGTTTTATGGGCCCCTCCCCTCACTACGCCCCACAGCACACTCATCCCCTCCAGGGAGGTCAAGGGGCCTTTCCCAGGTCACCCAGGGCTTTCTGGCAGAAGCGGTGGGTTATGACCAGAGAGTGTGCAGGGGCTTGGGGTTGTCCCCCAGGCCGGGGAAGCAGGAGAATTGGGGCCACAACCTTCCCTCTGGGATGGGGACCAAGCTCAGCTCTGCCCCACTGTCCCCTCTCCAGGCTCAGGCCATCTGCCTCCACCCGCTCTATGTCATGCTCCCCTGCACTCTGGCGGCCTCCCTGGCCTTCATGCTGCCCGTGGCCACCCCACCCAACGCCATCGTCTTCTCTTTCGGGGGCCTCAAAGTGTCAGATATGGTGAGTGGCAAGCAAGGCTGGAGGTCTCAGCACTCCTTCCGGCCCTGTCTTTCCAACTTCTTGGGCCACAAAGAAGGCTGAAAGGCACTGAGAGTCTCCAAGCTGAGAGTGGGACCCTCGGGGGTRAGGGGACAGCAGGGGAGACTGGGGACAGGACCCCTCAGTTGGAACATCTTCAAGCACTTCCAGCCCTGGGCCATGAGAGAGGGAAGGAAATGGGGGACATGCGGAAGATCCAGAGGGCCTGGTGTACCCATACTAGGGAGATGAACTCAGAGAAAACAAGGCCCAGGTTTGCAGCTCATGAGGAGCCCCCTTTTCCCGGTTAGCCCTGGGAGTCAAGAAAATAGCAAGAAAGTTGCCAAGCCCTGCGGGCTAGATCACAAGAAGGACTTCCCAGAGTTTTGCTAATGGAAGGGCTCGGAGCACCCCTGGACACTTGAGAGGTACTTAATGGTGCTGCTCAGTATCTGCTTAGTTGAACTGGCTCTCCTCCCACCAGGCCCGGGCAGGATTCCTGCTCAACATCATCGGAGTGCTGACCATCACGCTAGCCATCAACAGCTGGGCCATCCCCATCTTTGACCTGCACACTTTCCCTTCCTGGGCCCACTCCAATACCACGACTCAATGCCTTCTCAACACCACCACGCCAGGCCCCTAGATTGGGGTGCCGCCTAGCCATGTCCAGGAAAATCCCACCCCGTCCCATTTCCTCTGAGCCAAGTGGGGACACTCCAAGTTCTAAGCCCTGGGCTGAAGACTGAGAGAAAGGCCCACGTCTACACAATCGAGTGTGCTTGTGAAGGTGTGTGCTCATCTCTAGTGTGTCAGAGGAAAGCGTGTGTATCTATGCATGCATGTGTGTGTGTGCCGGTGCGTGTGAGGATGGTGCTGTTGTGAGTGTGTCCGAGAGGGGTTTGTGTGCGTGTTTGGTGGTGCACACGTGTGTGTTCACAGAAAATACACCCTGCCCTTCTTTGTCTCCCCAGCTTAGTGACCAGACCCCTTTGCACTGTATTTATTGAAACTCAGGGTTGGAGTGGCCTGGGAGCAAGGCCTGTCTCAGGGACTGCTGGTCCAGCGTTCTGAGGTCTCCCCAGGCTCCCAGGTTTGGGGAGGGTTCAAATATTAGCTGATTAAAGTCTTTTTCAGTAGAGTCTGGGGTGTCTCTCACAGCGCTCTCTAGACTGCTCCACAACGCGGCGTGGGGATGGGGCCAGGCTGGAGATATGGCGGGAGGGGGCCTGGTCTCTGTCCTGCACGACGGCTCCCTTGACATCCCTCCCACCCACAGGAGAAGGTAATGGTCAGGCACCCCTGCCAGGGCCGATCGGAGTGGGCGCAGCCACCCAGGATAGCAGCACTGACATCACCAGGACTGCTAATTGGGAACTGCCAGTCCCTGCGTGTCTTTGGGAAAACCGGCCTCCCCGTTCCCAGAGCACTCCCTGAGCATTTACATAAAACTTCGGGCCCCTGCCAATTCCTCACCGACCCTTCCTCCAGCTGGAAAAACCGGTCCCACCAGATCAGAGGAGGCAGGCTGGCTGACCCATGCAGGGTGCCCAGAAAGATGGACCCTCACCCCAAATGGCACCCTGCAGCAAGAAGAATGTAGTGTAGACTCATAGGAACAGGCTCAAAACTGCCATGACCTTCTGAGTTCAGAACCTGACAACCTTGGATGATTCTGCTCTGGATTCCACACTTGCCCTCCTCTGCCACCCGACCCTGAACTCTCATAGGTTCCGGAGCTTTCATTTATCTGGCAAAGTGGGCATAGGCTAGGGAAGGATGATACCACAGCTAGCATCCATTCTAGGAGCTCCACATCCTTTCCTGGCTAGAAGTTCATCTTTGCATCTATCCTAAGTTCCTTCACTGTGGAGGGTGGTATGTAAGCCTTGAGCTCACCTGGATGGAAGTTTCTAGAGTTTCATCCACTTCCCTCCTGCTGCAGTGGTAAAGAGATATTTACCATCAGCCTCATGGTTGAATGGAAAAGGGAGCCGAGATATGAAAGGAGAAAGGATTTAATTCTGCACCCCCCCCTAGGCTGGGCTTTCACTGCATCTCCCCGGAGCCGCCGGGGGACTCATGGGCAGTGCAGCTAGGAGGGGGCTACTGTACAGGGGAGAACATGGCTGTCCCCAGGGGACAGAAGATCCTGACAGGACATGCCAGACTTCCAGGAGAGCAAGGAGTGTCAGGAGAGTGGCTCCGCCTCCCCCCGGCCCCCCAGGCTGGCATTCCTCAAACGTGAAGCACCGTCATAAATCACATCTCCTTCCCAGACCTGCACCAGGACCCCCCAAAGCCCCAGGCAACAGTCCCCTCACTGGGAACGGCCAGCCCCAGAATGGCGGGGGGCTCCCCCAGTAGCTTACCCACAATGCACTGGGTAAGCAGAAGCAGCCTCAGCTCCCCCCTACCGCCCGAGTCGCCCTGCCCCATAGCAAGGAGGACCCCCTGTTATTGCTATCTTCAGAACCTCGCTGAGGAATGGCTATCCAGCCCCAACTGGGAAAAAGGTTTCTCAGGGTGCATACCCCCGACCCAGTATTCTCAGCTCCATGTCCCCTTTAGTCCCACTCAGAGAGACCTGGGTGTAGAGTGAGGTCACACAGCAATCCCAGGAGATGAGGAACAGCTGGCTCAGCCTTCTTGGGAGAGGTGGACCCAAGGCAAGCTGGGTCTAGAAGTTGACTGTGATGGGTGCGATCACCCTGTTCAGGGACCAAGTCTCCCTCTGATGCTTAGAAACCTCCCTCCTCAGCAGGCAAGAGGGCGGCCCGATGGCAGGAGGCACCTGTCGGGCTAATCACCGTCATTATCCAGGCAATAAAGCAGCACAGACTGGGCCAGCCTTTGAAAGAAGGGCCTGCCAGCCCAGGTCGGCTTGGACAGGTAGCCTAGCAGCTGGGCCTCTTCGGCACACACAATCAAGGTGGTGGCAGGTGAATGGGACATTGCTGGGACATGATCTCCCTGCCAGGTACCCACACCACATCATTGATGACGCCCTCCAGGAAGCAAGGGGCTTTGGGTGTCTCCTACCTCCAGACCTTGTGTGGTAGTGAGCTCCCTGTTGCTGGAGACCATCAATGAAGCTGAATCCAGAGGACAGCCTGCCTGATGGAGCCGTGTCCCCCATTCCCACGTGGAGCCTGGCACAGGGAATGTTGTATGAATGAACACATGGATGAGTGGATCAGAAGCAGAGAGGGTTTTCTGGCTCCCCGGTGGCGGGGGGGGGGGGGGGGGGGGGGGGGGGAGGAGCTGGACACACAGCGCTCAAAGACCCTTTCCAGACTGTTCTATGTGGAGTACTATAAGACCTTAAGGCAGCGTTTGGTCTCTGGGCCAAAGTCACTTTAAGCTCAGAGATAGGCCTAGATTTCTGAGCCAACTCCTACTGTTGCCCCTGTTCCTTTTCCCTGAGGCCTTGGGAGTTTTCGTTTCTCACCCCTCCTCCTGCCCGCCCCACCAGCCAGGAGACAGCTATGGCAACCAGAGGGTTCAGGGAAGTGGCGCTCAAGCCCTGGCAGGAGAAGCCTGCAGGGTGCAGGATGTCAGGGAGGCTGGGAAACAGGTGGAAACAGGCTGATCCTACTCTAGTGTCCCTAGAGATTAGGGTCCTTAGCCCCAGGGGAGGCCCTTCTACTCTGGCCATGAGTTGTCCCTCTACCCCAGAGTCTCAGAGGGGAGGTTGCTCCCTGAAGAAGCAGAAGGTGGGTCAGAAGGGGGAGCTCCTATGGGGTGCTAGCCTAGGGAGGGTGCCCCCTGAAGCCTCCATGCCAGACAAGGACTCAGAAGAGTTGCTCCTTATTTATTTACTTTTCATTCATTTTTGCAACACTGGGGATTGACCCCAGGGGCGCTCTACCCCTGAGCTACGTCCTCAGCCCTTTTTATTTTTTTATTTTTTGAGATTGGGTCTCACTAAATTATCCAGGCTGGCATCAAGCTTGAGATCCTCCTGCCTCAGCTTCCTGAGTCACTGGGGTTACAGGCATGTGCCACGATGCTGGGCAAGAAGAATAGCTCTTAAAGGTGGTGAGACCCGCAGATGTGTTCACAGAGCCATGGATTCCTGGGTACACACAGAGCCTGCTGACCTCTGCACAGACGTGGATACCTGTGTACACACAGCCACACACACTCCCTCGTAGACACTCTTACACACCATGCCACCAGCCCTTCTGACACCCAGAAACCATCCTGGAAACCCACACAGACACACATAGTCACAGACATTCGTCCGTCCACAATCACTCAGACTTGAGTGTTCTCACAAGTACACAGATGCTCACACTCACTGGCACAGTCACGTGGAGCAGCACTGTGTAAGCTCCACAGCTTAATGCACACCCACGGTGGCACACGAGTGAGAGAACAAAAATGTAAGTACTCACATAGTCACACATGTACTGTACTTACAGACACTGGCACAAGTGAACACACACACACACACACACACACTGCTCCTGTCTACCACAACTAAGCCTCCCACAGCAGGAGGGATTAGGAGGGGAGAGAAGCCTCTCCACCCAGCAGGACTCTAACTGCGGGCCTCCCATCAGACCCTCCCCCACCAAGCTTGGAAACTCCCTGGACTTCCAGGGGGTCAGCCAACCAGAACAGCTCAGACCTCTCGGCCCAGCTCCTACCACACACCCTCCTCCGCAGCTCTGGCCTGGAGCTTCTCTGGCAAGAAGAAGCAGCTTCACAGTCAAGGAGCTGCCTGCCCCTCTCCCTAGGAAGCTCACGGTCCTTAACCCTGATCCCTCCAAGCCTCTTTTGAAGTAGGGTCCTCAGCCTGCAGCATCTTATGCCAGCTACGCTTAGGCCCCATCCTCTGCAGATGTTCTTTTTGGGGTGGAGTGGGGTGGGGTAGGGTAGGGGGTATTGCCTTACCAATGCTAAGCATGTACTTTACTTCCTGTGCCGATTTTTGGCAGTACCAGAGATCAAACCCAGGACTTGGCCCATACTAAGCAAGCATTCTACCACTGAGTGACATCTCAACCCTTTTTTTTTTTTTTTTTTTTTAGTCTGTGGGTGTGGATAGGGTATCACTAAATTGCCCAGACGGGCCTCAAATTTGTGATCCTCCTGCCTCGGCCTCCCGGATTACAGGCACACACCCCATGGTGCCCAGCTTGCTGATGTTCTTTAGTGTCTTCCACACCAGTGGAGTGAGACTTGGAGGGCAGCAGAAGTGGCAGGCTCAGTCTTGGGAACTCACGTTGAGAAGACAAGTCCAGCCTACATGAGCAGAAGTGGACAGAAGATGGCCCATCCTGACATGGGCTGCAGAGAAGGCCACCCCTCCTCCATCATATTGGGACCCCGAAAGGTGGGGGGTCCCTGAGAGCTCCCTGAGATCTCCAGTGTTTTGCTCCAGACTGGAGCGTGGCAGATGTTGGCCCTAGCCAGGGCGGCTCCTGGCTCAAGGCAGCCCAGCCTGGACAGGACTCAGCAGAAGATGGTACCCCAGTCCTGACCTCCAAGTCTCCAGAGGCACAGAGCCTCCCCTGACCCCAGCTACAGCCCACCTTGGTTCTGTCTGTGGATTCTGGAGAGAGAGGCTTTCTGAGCCTAGGAGAGAACTCTGGAGGTGCTGGAGTGAAGGAGGGAGGGTCCTATCCAGAGGAGGAA